GATCTTTTTGAGCTAAATAATATGGAAAGAGTTTTAATTTTTAGCTGCGATTCTTATTCGTTTTACTAAGCGAAAAAAATGTGGATTTTTTTTTAATTCATCGGAATGTATAAAAGAGATGTACCCGTGCAATATTGGTATAATACGTAGGAGTGTTTAAAAAAGCTTTTAAATAGTAAATCTTTACATCTAATAAAATTGTAAAAGTTTGGTGTCTGTATATTATAGATATTAAAGAAAAGTTAATATTTGGAGTATTTATTAGAGCAACAACAAATTTTAGAATTTTTGTCTGACTGGAATTGAATACAGTTTTCACCGATACATTGCTAAAGGTGTAACTTAAAATATAGCAAAAAAAATAATAATTAGAGAGATGCCACCTGTTACAAAATTGCATTTAAAGTAAATTGATAAGATAAAGTAAGTAAATATTGCAACAAGGATGTCAAAAGAAAGAGGTTTAAGAAGGCTTAGAGCCGAAAAAATTTTTTTGGAAGGATGCCACCAGTTTGAAAACTTTGAGATTTAGGAAATTTTACCGCCGAACATATTTTTGTAGCGGATTGTCACCTATTAGAAAAATGTTATTTAGTTATGTTGATTTCGTTTCTAACAAAGATGGTTGCCCTGAAAATGAGATGGCTGTTTGGCTTTTTGGAAGAAATGAAATCACGATTAGAGTGATAAGATAAGGTAAATACTAAATTAATACTCCTTTGAGGAAAGTGCACTTCGTCTGCTACCTATATCTATAACTCTGACTAGGGATCCGACGATATTGAAAATGAGGTAATTTTTTAATCAAAAAGTGATGGCTGTTTTTCATTTCGATTAAAATAATCGTGGTACAAAGCTCAATAAAAATATTAAAAAAAAAAAAAACAAAAGAAAAAGAAAAATTTCAAGAAATTCAAATTCTGTACTTTTGAACCATAATTAATAGATATCGTATGAATGAGAAATGCCTGCATAATAACCGACATCCTTTTTTTTTGATTATTATGTTCTTCCATAAAGCGATGAATGATATGAATTTATTATTCCATGTCATTTGCAATTTTTTGATATTAATGAGATTTAATAAATACAATTTTTTAATTAATGCCTAATTACATAAAGAATTATTTAAAGAAATAAATTTTTAATTACTCTTTCAGCGCATTAGCGATTGTCAAATGACTTTCATTTTTAAAATAATTTTTTTTAGCTGTTTGTAGTAGCTTCGTAAAGTAGTAGTAATTTCGTTTAGAAAGTTAAACGACATATAAATGTTTACGGTTAACTTCTGATATATTTTTGTGTGTAGAAACTTAAGTTCAAACTAGTTTCTTAGCAATTAATACCTCGTTGTAGGAAGTTAAGTAAAGCTCACGGTTAACAAAAATGCATACATCTATGTAGTACATATATACAAATGTATGTAGACACCCTGCAGGAAATGGAACTAGTTTGTAGCTAACTATTAACTAACTAGTATTCGACTAGTGGTAACTACCCTTCAGGAAATGGAACTAGTTTGGAGCTAACTATTAATTTATTATTTAGTAACTATTTCCTTTGGCCGTAACTAACTACTTTTGAAGGGCGATGGCCGCAAAATAGTCAGAATTGGTTTCCTCTGCATTAGATGTCAACTAACTTGTAGCTTACTACTTTTGGACATAAAATATCAATAAGAAGAACAAAATATTTATTTGAGTTTTTTACTTATTTATGTATTTATTTATTTACTTTATTTTATTACATTTCATATTTGCTTACATATACTGCGCTCTAGGTGGTCCCATATTCGAACCCCGTCAGCCATAACCTCAAAATGATAAAGTAAAATTTCGATTTTCCTTTTTGTTGACCTGAATACGAAAAATAATCTGCGAAGTTCAGAAAAAAAGTGTATTGAAAGTAATTTTTGTGAGGATATTTAAAAAGAAGAACTTGCAAAGGAAACAAACTCCCGATAATGTCTAACTCCCGATAACTAACTTAAAGTTAGTTTTGTCATAGCTAATTAAAAGTTAGTTATTTATCGAACTCCGAATTGATAATTTTTTTCTGCAGGGCAGTTTTTCTTCCAACCACTCTCTGAATAGAAGAATATCTTAAATAATGATAACCGTATTTTTTTATTTATCTAACCATGCCTCCACACATTTTTTCGTATAAAATCGTAAAAAATAAATACATACAATTTTGATAAATATTCAATTTTAATACTAACTACTTTTTAGCAGTACGGCGTTGGCAACGCATTTACTAGCTTAAATTAAAATTGTCTGAATATATGTATTCAAGTATGTTCATACTTACATACATACATATTGCAAGCTAACATTAGTTAATGATTTTAAACTTTCTCATTTTGTTCCTTACATTTAGTTAAAAAATATTTCCTCTTCGACTTAAATGTTTGAAAAATTTTTATTCTAGAAATTGCAATTTTTATGCTTAAGCAGTATAGGTGGTTTCCTTTTCAAAGTTCTACTATTCCTTCTACGCTAATTATAATTCATAACGATTTTGAGGCGTTTATTGACCCGTTTGCGCTGCTCAAAAATAGAACTTGGCCAACTTTCGCGCTACGCTCGTAGGCATTTATATATGTGTGTACGTATGTATGACTATAACGCTCCTTTATTAGCATATTAAAATTTTATAATTTTTGTTTATTCTTTATGTAAATTAATGAAGTGTGAAGGGCGTTTGCTTTGCGTCGCGTGACGTCTCTTCATTTATGCAATTAGAAAACGCGCTTTCAAAACTGTTATATTTTCCAAGCACACAGGCACATAAATATTTACATATGTATATATTCCCAGCTAGCATTTGCAAGATTGTCGAGTCGTTTGGAACTCACTAGCGAGACATTAAACTACCCTTTCCTCACATACATATACATGTGTATGTAAGAGCCGCTTTCTTAGCACTGCTGCAACTCGTTTTATAATTCTGAAAATGCGCCGTGTATGATTCTCAATAGACAAAAGCGTGTAAATAAGACTCGAGTTCGATTCACTTTTATATAAAAATGTTGACTGGGTTTATACCTGCTACCACAACACAGCAGCGCATGCGTCACATTGTAGTGCTAAACTATGTAAATGAGTTGTTTCTTCTGTGAATGGCCACGATGAATGATTGGATAAATAAGTCAATTAGTGAGTGTGTTTCTGTATAAAAACGGTAGCTAAATGCTAATGAAAGCTTAATTAGCTAAGCAAAATTTCACGTTCATATATATATACATATATGTATATGTATGTGCACCTAAAATTTGAAATAATTTGCATAACCGATTTTCTGGGGTCTCAAAATATTACATACCACGCGATTAAGCATTTGGGGGACTATGATAAAAAAAAAAACTATTTTTTTTGATGTATGTATATAGAGACGAGTACTTAGTAAAGGAACCAACTTACTATACATATTGGTTTCTTCAAAGCGCAGTTCTTTGGTTACCTTGATTTTATAAAGTTGAGATAATTAATGTCATATGCATCTCGCATTCTCTCCCTGATTTGCTTACCCATCACCCTACAATGTGTATTTTAACATTATTAAATTAGTAATCAGTATTAAAGTATCGTTAATATATGTGGTTAAAAAGTTGGCACTCGCCTCAGAAATTTTAATTATCAGCTTTCTATCGCTCTCATGTCTATTGGTGATTATGTCGATATTCATTTGAGTTATTGCGAGATTTTTATGAAGTACACTGCCCCTATTTTTTCTGAGCTACTGTGCATTTTTCTACTTTTTTTCAAAATACTATTAACCGCAATTTTCCAAATACATACATACAAACATACATATTTGCAAACCTTAAAAATCATTCGAGTTGAAAATCCATTAAACTACCAGCCGACCGACCAACCAACCAACCAGCCGCCCAACCTTGCCGCGCATGCGAACCAGCAGAAGTTCAATCAAATGCAATATTTATGAATTAACAAAAAAAAAAAAAGAGTCAGACCAAACAAATTAAAACAATAACAACAGAGGCGCGTGTATTTAGATTTACAGCACACCTGAGCGCATTTTAATTGCGCAAATCAACACCAAAATCAGTGAATTGGCGTAGAAGGATCAGCGAATGGTGAAGCGTTAACACGCAGCGTGCTTTGAGTATGCAGTTGTGGCATCCAAGGTGTTGTTGGTGGCGGCAGCACGCCAGCAATGCGAAGGAATAGCGTGGCAATGCAACAATTACTATTTTGTTGCTAAATAAGCAGCGGCGCTAATGATTGCCCATTTGCAGCGGTGGGGTGGCAGTTGGTTGGCGTAGGCTGGATGTTCGCTGAATGCTACTGCAAGTTGTAATTGCTTGTTGCTGGCGCTCACATGCCAACACACACACACACACACACACACACACACACTCATACACACAGGCGCTCATGCATGCTCAGTCATATTGATTGCTTTTTAGTTAGACGCGCTTACAATTTTAGCAGCAACAATTTTATTTTTTCCACTTAAAACTTTTGTTTTTGTGGATTAAAATTTGTTTGTGCTGTGAAGCAGATAAATACCTTCGCTATCGTTGGAGTTGTCGCCTGAGTTGCATCGTTTTGCTAGCATCGCTCCGCGTCGAAAACCACCGACCTGTCGATATTCTTTTGTAGTTGGTCTCGTATTTAAATTCGATCAGACCTAACATCAAAATGATAATACAAAATTTCGACCTTTATTTTATTTACCCTGAACACGAAAAAGAATCTGCGAAATGCAGAAAAAAGTGTATTAACTTAACTTAACTTAAAGTTAGTTTTGTCATAGCTAATTAAAAGTTACGTATTTATCGAAATCCCACAGAAAAGCTAACTAGAAGTTGGTTATTTTATTCAATTGATAATTTTTTTCTGCAGGGTATGTATAGAAATAATTTACCCGAAATATCTAAAAACTTAAAACTGCATTTTTTCATTCATAGAAAAACATACTTATTTATGCATGTATTTATCGCTTTGCTCTAATAATTGCAAATTCTTTTTCAGTGGTCTGTGCAGAGCCATACAACAGCTTCGACCACATCACAAACTGCCACACCCCCGACCGTAAAGAACGTTTGGGCGAATCAGGAAGATCCCATGCAGCTGATTTTTGGACAATGTGGAAATGGTGACGCAAGCGGTGATTCCCTCATCACATCGCCAAATAATCAGCAGCATGCGGAAAATGAAATCAATGTGAGTGTTTCAAAGTTTCAGTAAGATAACGGAAAAATTAATCGATATTTCTCTTTGACAACCAGCTGATTGATCCTGCCAATGAAGAGTTACGTCGCCGGATTTCACAAATGTTGCAAAAGTCTATTCTCGATAGCGAGGACAGGGACTGTCTGCAGCAGCTCATTCGATTGGTGCAACATTTGGATTTGATGGCGCAACGCAGCGAAACCAATTCGCTGAATACCAACTCGTGTTCGAGTGATGAGGCCAGCAGCTTGGATTTGGTAAGCGAAGATTATTGCACTGATCTCTCTGCATATTTAGTACATCCACTTGAGCGCCAACATTTTGCTTGACACGGCTACTCTGTTCGACATTTGCGTGTTTACATCTGACTTTTTTCCACATACGCGATTGCTTTCGAAAATTTCATCAAAAAGCAACGCATACATTTTTATTTCAATCATTTCTCGTTTAGCAA